TGGAAGTATAGCACCTGACATATCCATAATCGCCTTCAAGTATACTACATCTATAAGTCAAATAAGCACCTTGGTGGAAACCACTCATTCATTATTAAATGTATAACAACATTACCTTCATGTCCTCTTCCCCTGCCTCTCTGGTTCCCAGCAGGTGTTTGGGTTGGAACACATCTTTATACCCCTTCCTCAGATATTCAATGAAGCTCTCTCTGTGCTTTAGAACTGTTGCATCCAATGTTTTCAGCTCCTCTCGGTTCAGGGTCTCAAATTCTCTGCATGGACACTTTGAGTTGTGACATTCTCTACAGTACCTGAAATGAAAAAAATATACATGTGATGATGTGGGTGGTTTTAGTCAAAATCTGATATAATTATTACAACTATAAACATTAGAAAGTTCATTTCAGGATATCCTTTCCTGTACCAACTACTGGATGGTCACGAAAGATGGCTCTGTATCTGTGGAGTGATTAACCATTCATTCAGAATGAGTTAGTGCGCACTAGCCCATGCACACTTACTCCATTAGGACTCTTGCTGAATGCAATCAGATTAACAGATTTAGATGCCTCCTGTTGTTCCCAACATACTTGCTATAATCACCAGCTTCTTTGAATTCTACGTAATGCCAGGGATTAAGGGGCATGTCGGTTCTTAATCTGATTTCATGAAGTTGGTGCACACTAACTCATTCTGAAAGGCCCCCAAGTTACTGAGTGATCTACAAACACATGGTAACAGATCCAAAATGTTCTGGGTCAGGCACTCCCCAAAGCCAGAAGGAAATTCTTCTAGAATAATTCCAAAACTAGTCAAAATGTTACCAAAGTTTACCTTTCATCTGCTTGGCATTGCTTATTGTTGTTATTACGCCTGATGTAGATCTGTTTGTGAGAGAAAGGCATGGCATGTTGGGGGCGCACTCTCATCATCTTCACAGCATCCTCCAAGTGAATTCTGGTTAGTGTGGCCTTAAAGTGAGCAAGCAAGCTCTCCCTGTCCAGCTTTCTCTTTGCTGCACTACCTTTTGATCTTTTTGGCATCTTGGGAAGTTTCTGAAACAGCAGGCATCTACAGAGTAAAAAAAGTTTTGACAAGAGCTTTTTTATATTCCCTAATTGGTATCTGAAAACCTTTTTTATATCAAATTATAGGGCCAATTCCCAATGAAACTATTGACCTACATAGATCAATCCATCTCCAAGGGGATCCTTACTGAATGCAATTGGATTCACACATAAACACGCCTCCTCATGCTCCCCATATACTCTTTTTATCACCAACTTTTCTGTATTCTACTCAACACCAGGAGGAAGCATGTTATTTAAAATTAATTTAAAAATCATATGGGGGAACATACTGAAAATGCGTGATAATATATTTTTCCTTTTTCCTTCAATGTTACAAAGCAGTCAAATTCAAGGAAGAGAGCTAAGAAAAATAATAATACTGCAGGGTACATGAGAGAGAAAGGTGGAGGGAGCTAGGGAGAGAGGAGAGACCTTTTCTTATTAAAAAAAAAACAACAAAAAAACAATAAAACTTAAAAAAAAAAAAAGCTCATTAAAGAGATATATGGTTCAGAGAGATGCAATTTTCCATTGCTAAATCATTAACTAAAAAGTTGGTATTTCAGTCTGTTCTTTCACCCTTCCCCCCAAAAAAATTATTTAATTCATTCAAAACCTGTGTCTTTTAATTTGGCTCAATAATTTTTTTCTTTTTTAATGCACTAAAAACATGGAAATGGGACACACATGTTCCACATAAAGAAAAATCACCTCTGTTTTGGTACAATTAATCTTCTTCCATAAACAAATAAAATGGACTTGTTTTCACTTTGATGTTGGTGAAGTAATCTCTTTATCTCTGGTTGGAGACTGGCAGTCATGGTCCACTGACTGTTAGTAAATCAGTCCCAGATGTTACATAACACAATCTTTTGGGTATTCATCAGATTTCACAAGCACATTTCAGGTTAGAAAACCTTTCTCTTGGATCAACAACTTCCTAACAAAGGACAAACCTTCTCAGTAGTTTTTTAAGCAAAATTTACTTGAAGCGGGACTGAGGTAGTTGGGGAATTGGTCAAGAAGGTACGTCAACATAAGCCGAAATCTCGTCTCATATTACTCAAGATGAAACGTGCAACCAACAAGTAGCTCTGTATCACCAAGTTTATTTTTCAATGGCCACGTCGGAACCTCCAAGACCAAAAAAGAAGCGCAAGTTATTCTCTTGTTGCAAAAACCTCAACACCAAAACTGTGTGTAATTTAGTTCTTATCTGAATCTGAAACAACTTGATAACTTTATAAGTCGATGACCTTACAATTTACATTGTTGCTTTCTGAACTCGTAGCTTCGATAACATTTGGTGTTTCACACACGAATCGCACCCGACACTAAGTTCACTACATGTATATATATATAAGCTAGGTCGCCAACTGTTCATACTTGTAAACAAGCTCCGCAGCTTGTTTGTATTTAAATAAAAAGACCATCTTACAAATATCAGTTGCCTTTACTCAGATTTTACCCTGTTTCTCGTCTTTTCCCAATCTTCTGACAGATATCCACCCAACAGTCACGGTTCGTCTGCAAGCATGTGGTTCGTCATAAAACTAGCGGGAGGACAACCAAAGTCACATGACAAAACACCAAGTCATGTGACCAGCCTTAGGTGTCAAAATGGCTGCTTCCGTTTGATCGTGTCACACGCTTTCGTTTTGCTTCCTGGTCAGGCGTGTATTTATCAGCCACAATGCTAAATCGGTTTAAAAGCGTGGTGGAGAATGTGATGGGTGGCATTCAGTCCATACCTCACAATACAGAGAAGGCGGGGAACCCAGAAAGTTTGGAAATTAAGTACGCGTACGCTCGACCGGACTTTCTTCAACTAACACACGAAGAGGTACACGTATCAGCGGATCATGCTTCGCGACCTATATTGGTGCCTAGGAGTATTGAGCGCCTTCCTTGGAACGCAGGATATGCAGAGTAAGTCCACTCAATATTCACCTCACGAAAGGACAAGGGGAAGAGAATGTAATAGATGCCTTTTCTTCTTCACTTACGTGGTTTTGAATGTTTATTTACTTTCTTTTTGTTTTGTTACATCTTATCACAAGCAGTGTACCTCTTAGCATTATGTATATTCGTGATTTGGGGTTAATGTATCACACAATAAGTTGGTTTCTGATGTGTGATCTTGGTTAACTTTTATTTAATTGTGTGTTTGTAGGCTTTCTGATTCAAAATGTGGGTCCATTTTTAAAATACATTTTTAGCAATTCCAAAATATTAAAATATTCGCAGTTTTTCTTAAAATATTAAAAAAATATAAAAAAGAAAAAGTTAACATTTTGAAGTATTTGGTGATCTTATAAATGGAATGATAGATTTTTCTCAAGTGATGTGTTTGAAGTAAAAGTATAAGTATGTTACGAAAACACTTCCTTATATAGTAAAGCCTCAATATACCAGGATCTAACCCAGCTTCATGTTTCTCAGTGTATACTTCACTTTTCCTATTTTTTCCATTGCAAACTCAATAGAAATTCAATTTCATTTAAATTTCAAATATACAATGTTTTAAAGAAAGCCTACAGTATGATAATCTGATAAGGGCCTTGTCACTATCTTCCTTCTCTCTGTGACATACTGGTACTAATATTTTAATCATGATAAAACTTTTTGCCAGAAAAAACTTTCAGATTTCCTTAGTTTGTATTATTGATTATTTTAGATGAAGTGCAATTGTTTACAAATGTTGCTTTGTTTTGGCATTGGAGATAAAAACAGGAAAAGATTTATGGAATAAACAAGAGGTTACACAAGGGAAAATGGATCGTAATTGTTTTATTCTTATCTTTACCCTGGGGCTGTCCCTGATTTATTACTTCTCTGGAATATTATTACATATTATAACATTTTGCACATGAGTATAACAGGGTACAGTGAATGACACTCTATATGAAAACCAAATCTACTTAAAAATCCACCATATAGTCCTTTCTTCTCCATAATTGATGGCAGTGAGTTTATATTTAATAACATTTACTTTGCACCAATTTTCACTTGAAAATATTGTAACAAACCTGTCGCTAGACTTGGATTGTCATATGAAGTAAATACAATGCATGCTCTATATTCATTTGGTCTATACCCAGTATACATAAGGTTCAAGGTTTGCCTTGCGCATTTTGTCATTTTGGAAAATGTCTTTTAAGACAATAAATATGTTAGATTAAAAAAAAGTCAAGGATCTTCAGTATTGTGCTGAAGAGGGCCAGTAATCTCATGTACATGTATGAGCTACAGAAGTACAGCAGACTGTTCTTACAATGTTGAGTAGATTTTATCATTGATCTATTCTAAATCCCATAGCAACTCGCAGTGAGGAAATTATATAACAGAACATTCTACTTAACACAAATTGTAATGTTCAGCTACTCCTTACAGCCCAAAGGTTTTTCAACTATTGGAACTATTATAGTACAGTACTTATTATACTCAACATCACAGCTGGATTATTTTCTTCTTAGATTATCCAGAGGCATAGTGCATACACTGTGCATACTTAAAAGTGAAGGATGTTTCTACTGCTGCTGAAAAAAATGTATTTTCGCATGAAAAAGAATCCAATACCTCTTCAGTGTAGGTCAAGTTGTTTTCCTATGAATGTGTCTTTTAGATTGGAATTTGATAGAGTATCTAAAGCCAGTGAAGTAATAAGACTTGTTGAGGATACCATGTAAGTTTTATTTATTTATTGTATTTCAGGCCAAAATCCAGAGTTTGGAAATTATTCACAAAATTCAAACAAAATTGATAACTTACAGTATTTATCTCAAAGCAATGTTTGCTAGTTATATTGTTCTAAAAAAGATTATTTGAAAGTTTGAAAAGTGGATGAAGGACGTGTTCCAAATATTTGCATGTGAGCTACTGATCATGAACTAATATATCTTGAAAAGATTATATATATATATATATATATATATATATATATATATATATATATACACACTAGTATAACTGAAATAATTTTTGAGCTTGTAATTTAGGAATAAAAGCAAACTGAACTGAGCCAGTAAGGATCTGCCACATTCAGGGTAAACTTAAAGCTATAATCCAGATAACACAAATCTATAAAGACATGAAGACACTTATCCCATTCGGATGATCTTTGCATTTGATGTTAGCAGACATGCCAAATCAATGTGCAAATACAGCATAAGAGCAGATTTGATGGGTCTGCAGTATATACGACACTTTCTCACAAAATGTAAATATAATTGTAACAGTATGTAGTTAAATGGAACTATGTTTACTATACTGTGTGAGCTATACCATGTACATGTAATTGTGTACTATATGTCAAGTGGCTTCACTATGACCCTTCATCATGGCTCCTCGTTTTTATTTATTCAGTCATAGTTTGTTTGTTTTTTTTTTTCATATAAAACTCATAGTATTTGGGGGTAAATATTATGATGGTGATTTTGGTTGAAGTCAGAAGTTTTTATGTATATATGACTGATATTACATCATGAAATGACAGAATATTAAACAGTGGAATAAACAGTGTTTCAAATTTCTTGGATATTTTTTATCCCTACATTTACTAGTATTTGGTTCATAGAGGACTAGTGTCCTTTATTCATTGTCAATGTTTTAAAGCTTCTAAACTCTGATTACTAGTTATTTTCTTACTCTTATGTTTTTATTTATGTATTTATTAAATTAATATGTCAGAAAAGAATTTGGTAGAATTTGAGGCATTTAACTATTCACTCATTAATCCTTTATTTGAATTGAGCTTAAATTTAACTTTGAAAAGAAAATAGAGACAAACAGTTTATTTCATAAAATTGAAATATGCAATATATTATATTCTTTTGTTCCTTTCTCAATTTTCAATTTGACATAATTCCCCATTAACTTAAGACACAAAATAAATCTGACACAATTTTATAGGCAATAAAGACACGAATAAATGAAGATTGATCACCAGTTCTCATTTATTTTACAATTTCACAATGAAAAGTTGTTAATATTCACTATCTGTATGAGGGAGCCAGGCTATTGCGTCCTGGTTTCACAGGCTTACTGAAGAGTTCATATTATGTTACCAAATAGACACAGCAGTGTAATCAGATAAAATTCTGATATTAATACAGGAATTGCTGCAGACTAGGTTATCATGCGCTATACAACATGTAAAGACCCGACCAGTCCAGTTGAGTCTAGAAATAGACCAGAGGCATGTTTACATTTTCTTGGCACAACACTTCAAACCCTTTTTATAAATTGTAAATTTGACTGTAGTCTGACTGATGTTAAAAATATCCAAATTAAATAGGAATCCTCACTGCACCTAAAAATTTGAAAAGTTGTGTTTTACAATCCTGTCATTTGGGATACGTATATATAGTATTCCTCACCTAAGTTAGTTCTTGTGTGAACATGCTTGATTTAGTCACCCTGGGTCACATGATGTGATTTAGCTATTATAATATTTACGTTGAAGATTGAGGTGTATTCAGTTAATGTTGAAACCAACATTGGGGTATTTTTGCCAAAACCCTTAATTTTGGCCGAAAACCAAATGCCCGATTTTATGGTTTTACTACTTATAATTTGTAGATTTAACATCATGTTTTGTGTCGTTACATATAGAGAGAAGACTCAGTTTAAAATGTTTCATGCAGTTTGAGTTAACACAACTTTTATATTCAATTTGTTAGCAAATGTGAAGCTTTGTTATAATTATGATCATTTTATAAACCAAGTTACAAAAAATTATCATAATACATGTATTATTTATAGTAACTACTGTTCCATATACATGTAGCTCCACAACAGCAATTTGAAACCAAATAATTACGTCTCTGGTTCTTAAACTATCTGAGATAAAGAGTAATACCATTCTGTCTGCTTCTACTCTCTAATCACATCCGCGTAGTTGTTTGCTGCACATAATCCATTTGTTTTTCTATCTTACATCAGATGCCCATTACATGGCCATTTAAAGAGGCTCTACTCCTTCCTGCCCCATCCCCTTCCAAAAAAAAAAAAAAAAAAAAAAATGAAAGATTTAAAAAATAAACAAATAAATAAATGAATAAACATTAATTTTTTTTTATGTTGTGACCTTTGAATAACTTGTGTAAGAGTTTAAATAAAGTTTACACAAAATGTTTGCCAGAGGTTATAATATTAAGAGTAATAAATCAATGTGTAGGAGGAGTTTTTCGTTTTTTACTTTTTATTTTTTAAAAATGCCCACTACCCTCCCCTCCTCCCTAAAAAAAACCAAGGCATGTTTGATCAAAATATTGTATTAGTCTGGAGTGGAAACCCATTAAAGAATAGTCATGTTTGGAACTCCATGACTTTGAACTAAAAGAAACTCATTCAATAATACTAGCAAGGACAGACTAACATTATTGGATTGCAAAGAGTTGTGATAATGTTGTGCCGAGTGGCTGCATTAGTTTCGTTATCTGCACTGGGAAATACAGTTACTGTAAAGAAAGTTACCTCCTATTGAATTAAACTTCCACTTTCAGCACTTCAATCACTCATCAAGATACATTATGTATGTCTTTTCACTACACAATTGATATAGGATGGACTTGCCTTAAGATGTCAACTCGGTTCAGTGGGAAGGGTATTAAGGTCCCTTGTCGTTAAGGTAATGGATCAATAACAATCACTGGGTATGCAGTGGTTATAATTACTGGGAGAATGATTGTATTTTCACATGCAATGATAGACAGAGAACTTAAGATTATACTGAGATTCATACCCAGGCCTCCCAAACAGTTACAAAGCATAATAACAATGCCTTGACAACAACTCCAAAACCATGCCACACAAACCATTGTTAAGATTTTGAGTTTTTATCTAGACTCTGTAGGTGCATGTTCACATAGTAACTATTTGGGATGCTTGATTTAGGATTTTACATTGGTAGGAAGGAAGGCAAGGAT